TCTCTCTCTCTCTCTCTCTCTCTCTCTCTCTGTGTGTGTGTGTGTGTGTGTGTGTGTGTGTGTGTGTGTGTGTGTGTGTGTCTTTCTTTCTCTCTCTCTCTCTCTCTCTCTCTCTCTCTCAGATGAGGTTGTCCCATGTGTGCTGCTGATGTGGGATGGTATGTACAGCAAGGGGATGGTGTGTGGAGAGCATGCTGTAGATTTGTGTAATGGTGTGAGTGGTGCCCCACTGTTGGAGGAGTTGCCAACAGAAAGGGTCCCTCTCAGGCTCCACACGAGCTCGGGAAAGTGTAGCAGGGGTGCAGCTTTTGTAATGGAGATGAAGGCGTATTTCCTGAGTGTTTCAAGCAAACGATCACATTGTGTACTTTGCAAGCCCTGAGTAGCAGAAAGTGTTCAATCGTAGATCATTGTGGAGGCGGTGCAAAAGAACGGCTTTGGAGTGGGAGACGGTTGCAGCGGCATGCAGGCAGTTGGGCAGTCCAGGTCATGCTCTGTGTGTTATTCGTAGCTGTTGAAGAATGTGTACGACGAGAGGGAGATGGCAGCACAATCACTGAGGCAGACGTCCTCCCAGAGAACCTGCCTCAGTCAACGATGTGGCAATGGTGTTGTTGCTGAGGGGAGATTGCATCCCTGACCCGTCGATGGCTTCCTCAGGTTTCTTTCGCTAAGAAAGTGTGTAGTAATAATGGGTGTTGAATCTGTTGATGATGTTGTGGGAGTATGAACAGTGACTGGGTCAGTGGGAGTGCGAGGTAGGGTGAAGAAGGGGACCAGTTGAAGGGTTGAGGAGGAGGTGCAAGTGGATAGCAAGTGCACTGTGTGGTGGATGGGGTGGCAAAGACATTTGGCTGCTGAGTGCGTGTTGGTGAGCATAATATTTGTCGCCAACCACATCTTTGCATATGTGCAAGTGTGCGCTTTACCGCAGATGAGGGCGTGGGCACTAGTTGATTAACCACACAACCATGGTCAACATTGTGCTCATTTCAACCCTAAATGGATACGGTGGATTTCGCGCTGATGTTTGGTAATCTCTCTCTCCACACACACACACACACACACACACACATGAGTGGGTGAAAGTCCAACGAAACAGTCTGGCACGGTCATGCTTTTTTCTAGTGTATAACGGATATGACAACACATATGCAACACACAAACACACGAAATGGATTCACTCTTGCCTGCGAAGTGTCTCATCTCCGTCGTCACCACATCTTGATCCATCGTCAGAGCCTCGTGTGACTTGCAGCTCTCCTTCCCCCATCCTTGACATCATCGTCACCAGCTTGTCCTTCAAAGGACCATCCTCTTCCATTACCAATGCCCTGAGTTGCTTACTCTCCTCAAGTTGTCTGTGCATTTCAAACCGGGCTGCCTCACTGCAATCAAATCAAGTTCAATCATCAATGACCACAACCCAATAATCATATACTGCTCTCCTTCCTTGTACACCGCAAAGCCTCACGGGGAAAAAAAAAACACATCCACCAATCAAAGGCCGTTATGAATAAAAATGATGGATCTCAAGTGATATAACTGAGAGTTGCTGTTGTGAATAAAAGTTAAAAGCGATGGACCTCAAGGGACAGAACTGAGAGATGTCACTCCAACAATTGGTTAGAATTGCAACTGACGGTCTGGATACCATCCAGACCTTAGAGAAGCTTAGAGAAGCTTCTGTTTGTGCCTTGGAGCAGAAGCAGCATAACAGCATTGATCCGACGGTCTGGATACCATCGAGAAGTCAGGATGGATCTTGAAAAAAGGGATGGTGGGATACCTCCCCCGCCAAAAAAATCATTTCTTTAAATTGATAAATTCTTTTTCTGTTGCCTCGGGCTAGGGTACGAGTTTCTTAACAACAAAAAAAAGGCCAAATCTTTATCATCCCGGGAAAGTTGGGGAAACGGGCCCGGCGTCCCTCACAAAGTTTGCTGAAGTACCCAAGTCAGTTTCGAGCTGGCCCTCAGCCCAAAATTGTTTCTTAACTTTCTTTTCGTTTTTTTTCAAGTTGTTGCAAGGAAGATGAGCAATAGCGAACTTCAGCAATCAAACAGCATCATACACATGAGACCAGATAGTCGTGACCTCGAACCAAAAGCAGAATTGCATCACGAGTTTCACCAAATAAGAGCATACCAAAAGCTCATAATTGACAATGCTGGAATAGTCTCATCATCATCATCAACGAAGAACCAATGTTGATGTCCTATCTGGCGCTCGGCGCCCAGACTACAGATGGCAGATCCTATCTAGCCTACTCTACAATGCCGCTGATGACGTCAACAGCTCCCCGAAGTACGAGCAGATCTCGGCCAATGCCGCACACTTCAAGCACCAGGTATGTCTCTCGTATCACTCACAACCTCATTCCCCAACTCACAGATTCCACTTGCACCCAAGGACGACCATCGCCCCATCCAGCATACAGCAGCGCAGCTCGGATATGGCTGCCTGCTCCTTCCAGCTCGCCCGTGAGCGCGTGAGCCTGGCAGGCGATAGCGCAGCAGCGCTTGCGCACAAAGCAGCCAGTGCCCGAATGTCCAATCCGTGGGCAGGCCCTTCCGTATATCGAAGTGGCCTGCTGCTGCGTGCTGTGCTGCAGTACTGGGCCCCGACCCAGAAGATTCCAGTAGGCCCAAGGAGGCTGAGCCTCAGTCCGAAGAAAACAGGCCCAGGGCCTGAGGCGGTTATCAGCACCCAACTGCCCTCAGCCTTTGTTCGGTCCACTTTGTGTATCCGGCCCAGGGCCTGCCTTAGTTACATGCAATGAAGGCAGCCTGGGCCCGGGGGTGCTTCCAACCAACTGGCGCTGCGCAACTGCCTGAATTTCCCCAGTTGCGTGGTGACCCTGAAATGGCCTGTAGGCCTCGGTCGTGCTTGGCTTCACTTAGGGCGGCCGACTGTGTGAAAAGTGGGCCCTGAAGGGCATATCGAGGCCCTAAGCCTCGCATTGTTGTTATTTTTTAATTATATATTGTCACATAACTATGAACTAAAAGAGCACAATTTGCGAAACAAATGGCAAAAAAAAAAAAAAAAAAAAAAAAAAAACATGAAGGGCACAGTGAAACCATTCATTTTWCTCATTCTTCTTTTGACTCCCCTTTCACCGTGCCTCTATATTTATAATTTATTTGATTTTTATTTGTTTTTTTTTCAAAAAAACGCTGCCTTCTCCTCATCGGGGGACAGCCATATATATATTTTTCTTACCTCACATATTTTTTAACTGGCGTTCTGCCATTTCATGGAACATATCTTTCTTTTACTACCCACCTAAGTACCACTATACAGGGGACCCCTGCAAGCATAGCTTTCTACCTCTCTTCAGTGAAGAGAGAGGTAACGGCATGTTTGCACCTTTGCCCCTAGTGCAAGGAAATGAGCGATAGCGAATCCCAGAAACCAAGCAGCATCATACACATGTAACCAGATAGTCGTGACCTCGAACCAAAAGGAGAATTGCAACACGAGTTCCACCAAATAAGAGCACAGCAAAAGCTCACAAGTGACAATGTTGGAATAGTCTCATCATCATCAACAATGAACCAATGTCGACATCCTATCTGGCGCTCAGCGCCCAGACTACAAATGGCAGATCCTATCTAGCCTATCTACAATGCCGCTGGTGACGTCAACAGCTCCCCGAAGTACGAGCAGATCTCAGCCAATGCCGTTCGCCTCAAGCACCAGGTATGTCTCTCGTACCACTCACAACCTCGATCCCCCACTCACAGATGCCACGTGCACCCAAAGACCACCATGTGCCCCATCCAGCATATTGCAGCGCAGCTCGGCTATGGCTGCCTGCTCATCCAGCTCGCCCGTGAGGGTGTGGGCTCTGGCCAGCGTTTAGCGCAGCAGCGCTTGCGCAGCACGCAGCCAGTGCCTGAATGTCGAATGCGGAGGCAGGCACTTTCCTAAATGGAAGTGGCCTGCCTGCTGCGTGCAGCCTAGCTGCACTGGGCCCCGGCCCAGAAGCTTCCCGTAGGCCCCGAGAGGCTGAGCCTCAGTCCAAACGAGTCAGGCCCAGGGCCTGTGCCATGCCCAACTGCCCACCGCCTGTGTTCAGTCTGTGTTGCGTATCTGGCCCAGGGTCTGCCTTAGTTACATACGATAAAGGCAGCCTGGGCCTGGGCGCTTTCAACCAACTGGCGCTGCACAACTGCCTGAATTTCCCCGGTTGCGTGGTAGTCCAAAATAGGCCTCTAGGCCTGGGTCGAGCCTGCCTTCACTTAAACCCGACATTTCTGATAACAGGGCCCAGTAGGGCTTACCGAGGCCTTGCGCCTCGCACTAGTATTTTTGGCACAGGGTTGGGGTTGCCGGTGGGGACCCAGCTAACACAAGGACCGAGCATTTGCCTGTAACTGTGCCTCCCTTTTCATCTTCCCCCACCCCCATCGAGTAACAGTAGTGTCTAAAGCCAACTCTCTACAACACATCACACGCAACCCGCTCACACCCCCACTCACACCCGTGTTGGCTGAAGACCTTTACTAGATGGTATTTAGTTATTTCTATTGCAGTGCTGCATACCATAGCATTTTTTCTGGAATACCAGGCCCCCCATCCAGACTGACTCTGGCTGGCCGATGGCCCTGCCGGGCAAGGTCCTGGCCCAACTCCAGGCAGCCCAAGCGCAAAGTCAAGAACATTAAGAAAAGAAAAGAAAAGAAAAGAAAAGAAAAGATTCTGGAAAAAGAGACGTTTTTAAAATTGCAATGCAAACAACTTCTGGAAAGAAGATTTTTGTACAATTGCAATGCAAACAACTTTTGGCTGACGGTCACCTCAGGATACCATATAGAATTGAAGATGAAAAACAGGGGGGGGAGGGGGGGGGAATCAAACAAAGGCACGCGGTCACACACCCCTTTAAACATCATTTATACCCCCCTTACTCCCCCGGGCCGATAAGAGTGCAAAACAAAAGAGAGCTCGGATTTGGTTTACCCCAACTTTGAAAACGTCCGGATTGACCCAGCAGGAGGCCCCCATGGTGAAGACCAGGGCGCCACCAGGGCAAAAATGCGTCGTGCACAGACCAGGGCGCCACTCTAATTCCTTATGAGCGGCTTTATTGAAGTTTATTCAGAACAAAAACTCTTAGGGCATACTCACACTAGCACTTTCCTAAATGTATCTGACTTCAATTACGGCCAGACCAGGATGAATCTGACTTCAATCACGTCCAGAGCTTGTAAAAATGTCCTAGTGCGGGTATGCCCTTAGAATCTCCATGTGCAAGAGAAGCAGAGTCAGAACACGCATGCATAGTGTGACCAAAGCCAATACACATAACCGCGTTATCGCGGCATCAGATGAGAGAAATCACTCGATTTAACTTTGAAAGATAAACATGATGACAGGATCAATCACCACTCTTGCAACATACAGCAAGAACCGGACCCTCCGGAAGATGGATGTGAGCAAGAGACCACCATCGCCGCACGGTCGCAGAGAACTGAGAGAAGCCCTGGCTTATCCCCTACTAGTTTCAGCTACCGCCCGTAGTAAACTCATCAAGGGGATCGAGATGATTACTGCCCCTAGTTCTAGTCTATAAGTACTTGGTCTACCACCTTCTTACTTCGCCCTTCCAGCCTGCCCCTCGCGTGTTCCAGGCCCAAGACTTGGTCCGGATGGTCCAATCCCTCCCACGGTCCAGTCAACATCCTTCCCACGATTTGATTCGGCGCGTGAGAGTCCCGTCCTCGTCATCATGGTTTTCTCTGACCGCTAACCTGAATGCGTTTCCCAGCTGCCGCAGATTTCGGTCCGCTCCAGAGGTGCTCCTGTCCGTTCCAGCAGTGCTAAGTGGCCCGTCTACCTTCCTATCTGCACCCATATATGGACCCGATTCAATTCCCCTGGTCCTCAGGTTCCCTGGTCTCCGATTCCTGCATTTCGGCCCCGCCTTTATTTCCCGCCGGTCTTAATCTGCTCCTAAGTATGGACCCGATTCAATCCCTAGGTCTCTTATTTCCCGCTTGCTTGTTCCTACTCTTCGGCCTGTCTTCATTCCCAGGTCCATTTCCCTGCTGATTTGTCCCCACTTCTTTATCTTCCCGCAGGCAGGGACGTAGGGTGGGAATGTGGTATAAGCGCCGCCCAGCAGTTCAGTAAACTTTAAAGCAGCGCTGTTCAGTAAACTTTAAAGCAGACACAGTGCAAGTACCTGAATGATGGCAATATACAGACCAGGGCTCTGTTCTGTAATCTAGCTACAATTGAGGTCAGATACATGCAGCGCTGGCTACAGGAACATCGTGGGGCCATTACTGTCCATCAAACGAATAGTTTGGCAGACAGAAACCTCTTTTTCTCTATACTTACTCCCAAAGACTAGCCCGGTCCTCAGCTAACGCTGCCC